TTCCTATGTCGACAGCAACTATGAGTTTAAAACTATTAACAGTGTGTATGTTAATGTAAATTACAGAGTTGCTTCTGAGGTCAAAATACCAATAGGTAATGTATAAATGATACAATGAATGTGATTTTTATTTTACATGTACTTCTACTGAAGAAGCTAATAAAGCAAATATTGTACTTATTTGAAAGATGAACAGACGCAAGTATTATTTATAGCCCCCCCCCTCCATCAATGAAATAAGCTCATTGCTGTATCAAGCATATGCACATGTCCCATAACATTATGTTAATATCAGAGAACATCATTACACAAACTATGTCATGCAAGAATATAAGTGTTGATGCTTGTACAAAAAAAAAAGTTTTGTTAATTACAAATGTTCCACTTTTCATACAGGTGGGGCTGTTGTAAATTTAATCAATTACGCCACATCATAATTTATCAACAGCTGCACAAGTCGATTCGTTTGTGAATTTTTGTTAATCAGTTACATTAAAATCAGTTCAATTCATTAACAATATATGAGCCAAATAAATATGTACAAATATACAAAATGTATGATAGAAATTCAGCAGACACTTAATTAGATGATTTATATTTAAATTGATTCATTAAAATAAATGTTATGTGTAGTTTCATGACAGAGTGAAATGAAATGACACTTTGAATACCGTAAAATCTGTTTTAGAAGCCGCATCCCTAATAGAAGTCGCACCTATTCTTTTTAAACATTTGAGAACCAAAAATTCATTGTTTCTCATAAGTGTAGATGCTCTAATAGAAGCCGCATCCTATCTGTTGCATTGTACTATTTTAATAGAAGCCGCGGCTTCTAATACAGATTTTACAGTACAAGTACATATCTGATATTGTATTGTCACGATTTATCATGCAAGTGAATTCCACCATTTTGCCTTGCACATTTTAATGTGTCGTCAGTATAGTGTTTTCGCTAGAAAAGTTACGTTTATTAAAAAGATAGGATCATGATTATGTGCACATAGCAGCATTTTTAATCAGATACATATATTTGGCGGCCATTGAATAAACAATGTTCCAGTTGATCATATATTTCTGACCTTTTCATGAGTCATATTAAATGTCATACTAACACAAGAACCCAAAGTTTAATAAATACAATCTTATATAAACTGCCTGAAAGTTCAATGCATATTATGAGCATTTACAATGTACAAGTTAACCATGTCATTAAAATAGGACTCAAAAAAACAATTCAACCTTTGAATGATCTCCAAATGATGGTGTTTGAGCCCAGTTTTGTTTTCACATCTGTTTTCATGGGTGTTATGTAATTGTAACACTACTGCTGATGGCCCAAGGAAATTTAAACTCTTCCATTTTAAAGGAAATATCAAGCCAAACAACATAATGACCCCCTCAAGAAAAAGCTCCACAAATGTAGGAGAATGCCATTTCTCAATTTCTGACAACAGATTCTATGATGTCATAATTTACCCATAATCCTTTGCTGAAGAATCAAGATGGCACCCTACATAAATTGATGAAAAAATGAATATCTAGAAAATGAAAAGTGATATAAAAAAACTATAAATTTCATGTTCTTACATTTGCCGGGCTCTTTTAATCTGCGAGTATTATGTTGTTAGCCTTGACTTTCCCTTTAAGTATAACATAACAGGTTCCCATCTGTTTTTCTGTTATACCTGGGTTACGCCGGCATAAAAGAACACAAAAAACAGATGTGAACACACAAAGAGTTGCTGCTACAAACCTTATCGCGAAGTGATTTCACTTGCAATAACACAATGAGGTTCCAAAAGACAGAATGAACATACACTCCATGATGCAACCCCCAGGGTTTTAGGCCTCTCCCACATGAAACTGTGAGGACGCCAGACTTATTATCTATTGCAGATAATGTCAACGTTGTATGTACAATCTGAATCTCCATTGTTGGATATTAACATTACAAGTTCAGGAACACAAAACATATAGTGTAATGACAGTTCTGTTGAAAATGTCACTGTTGTGTTCTTACAAGAGTTTATGAAAATACTGTTTCTTTGCCTGGAGTTACTCAGTATGCATATTCTAATGATTTATTATGTGAAGCCAATCAAGGCCATGTTATCTTCCTAATGTTTGCCTTCTTTGAGGGTGACGGGGATTCCGATGAAGATGTATCTGTTGAGATCTGTAATTAATCAATAAAACAAAGTCATTTATCATAACTGTCAGGTTCTTATATCATATTTAATATACTGTGAAATGCTTTATTTTAGCTGGAATTAATTTTCGCTGAAAAGAGTTTTGGGGTGTTTTGTATTGAATTTATTTTCACTGATTTTTGATGAGTTGAATGTAAAATATAGGAAAAAAGGTACTGTATATTTGGTCGATTTAATTTTCACTGAATCATTCCTTCAGCGAAATTAATTCCAAGCGAAAAAAATAAAGTATTTTACAGTACTAGAAATGCATCTCCAATAAAAACAAGAATGACAACTGAAAAGCTTACTTAAGTATTACACCTTAAAGTGCCTGTGCAATGCCCACCCACACGCTTCCCATTTTAGATCTGTGCCCCACTAAAGTGGGCAATTACTGATTTTTTTGCTGAAAATGATTACTCATATCCAAGTAAATTTGAGATATTTCCCGTGCTGTAGCCACGCCCACCTATCCTGAAACGGTCGACTGTTTCCGGATTTCCGACTCTCGCCGAAAGTGCGCCACCAAATACAAAAATATGA